CATTGTAAAGTATAAGTGCCGCCCTAGTATCACGAAACTGTGAGGATGCTGGCATAATAAAACCAAGAGTTTTATTGGCCGTTTTGCAGAGAGTCGTGATCTGGTCATGAAAGTTCAAGCTCGGGTCCATTATAACTCCCAGATCGCGAATAGACTGTACTCGTTCAAGTGCTGTATTACCTATAGAATACTGGTAATTTACAGGGGCGATAGATCTCGTGTAGGACATTATTTTGCATTTACCGATGTTAAAGGTTAACCCATTGTTTCCACACCATACAGATACCGCATCAATATCGCACTGCAGAGCCCGAGAGTCTATGACCGAATTAATAGGATGAAACAGTTTTAGGTCATCCGCAAACAATAAATGTATAAAAATGTATAAAAAAATAAATGCCCGAACGTCTTCCCCATTCGGTTCTCTGTCGTCTATAATAAGCTTCCTTTTTCCTGCAATATTATTAACACCTCTTTATTAGTTTTTTTTCCTGCCCAACTCATTCCTCCATTCATACCCAATACCACATTTCAAATTCTTCCTAACGGTTGTTTCTTTGTGTTTTGTAAAGAAATAGATTTATTTTTATTTTATTTATTATTTAAAGTTCAAATACAGCAATGTAACTACGACGATAATATTGTATACATAGTTATCTATGCTATTGGTTGGATAGTAAATTGCTTACTGCAACTACCTGCTCCTTCATAAGTAAACAACAAATTGTGTACAACCTTTGTTACCAAATGTTGATCACACAGTTATAAATACTGTAATTAGAAAAAAATCATTAAACCTTGTTGATACAGTTACAGTACAGTATTTTTGAGTATAACTCTAAATACTCCATTGCAAAATGGTTTAGAAATAACTGAATTGTCGAAGAAGCTCCGGTCTGCTGCATACACGATCAAAAAGATTCGACAATTTTCAGACTTAGGCAACTTTTATACTAGTTAGCACCGTTTGATGGCACATGGCATTTTATTTTTGGAGAAATGCCGCCGACATTTATAGAATATATTGGATCTGTGTAAGCAAGCTGTTTGGTCAATTTAAAACCTGGTAGAAAGTGACGTTCTAATACTGGAGATTTACCACGAAATACGATACTACATCACAACGAAGCTCATACGTACTATACATGTCAATTTTACTATGAAAGTAATGTCAAAATTCCATACAATAACTGTCATAATGAGCTTCGTTATCACGTAGTATTGTATTCCGTAATAGACCTCCTGGCATCACAGTACATTTAATACTACGTAATTTATCGTAACAGACGTAATGTTAATACAATTAAGAACAATTACATGTACTTTGATCTTGACAATCGTAAACACAAAGTCGCAAATACAGTTGAAAAGCCAAACTATACGTTTCTATAATAAGTTGATTTGTTGTTGATATTCGAAATTTGTCTCTTACGAAGGTCAAAAATATTGTGACTTAGTACCATTCTGTAACACCACGTACAAGAAATATTAGTAACCTCGCCTTGCCGCTAGATGGCGTTGGGATCAAAATATAATGCGCTATCGAAGTGTTAACTAAATTACCATTTAAGTTGCAAAAGGAAATTGCTTTTTATCGAAGTATAAGGCGTGAGTGGCATACCAGTACTTCCACAGTGTGGGATACTTGGAGGAAAGCTCATAGAATCGTCGGCTGCCGCTTCCGCCGGGTGTGACGGTGAGGTAACATGGGGGATGAGCGCGATTATGTCTCCTATGTCGATCATACAACTACGTCAATAAAAGCCGTTGCGCATTTGGAGATTTAAGCGTCTTTCTTCACCCATCCTCGCTTCGTGTACCTATTACAATTCTTATTATTGATCTTTTTTATTTAAGAAAAACACCTAGAATATTAAGTTTTTATTGAATTGATTTTCAATTATTTTTTGTGAAATTACTCCACTAGTTTGTTATAATTATTAATACAAAGATCGAACACTCAGAAAAAATTCCTTCGATCCGGCCGGATTCGAACCGACGTCTTCTAGCATACCGTGGCAGACGCTTTACCAACTAAGCCACGGAACGAACCAGCGGACCTCACGAATTTTTCTAAGTGCTTGCGTCGTGTCTTTGTATTTTGGTTTTTTCAACGACTTTTCAGTCGTAGCGCCATCTATGAGAAATCTATGAAAGATTTATCACCCAGTTAGCACCTTTACAGCTACCAGTCCTGGTGAAAGATGTCGCTATTCGATGTATTTGAAATTTTTATTGAATTGATGTTCAATTATTTTTTGTGAAATTACTCCACTAGTTTGTTATACTTTCGGATCGAAGGATTTCTTTCTTTGTATTAATAATTACAACAAGCTAGTTGTTTTTTTATTCTTTTCAGGGATATCTTCCTTACAATTCACCATGCCTATCTCTACCGCCAAGCAGTAATATCAGCATTACTGCGTTGGTTTTGAAGGGTATAGAGGTGCTGGTGAAACTACAAGCACTTGGGACTTTTCAACTTTACGTTTCAGAGTAACAGGTCCTGTGACCCTCGGAGCTTCCGATTTTAAACTTTGAGTGGCAGTGCAAACGTATCGCTTGCCACCACTGAGTTATTCGGCCCATCGCAGTGATTTAAAAAATCAATTTCATGATAATATAATTATAGTAAAATAAAGTCGAAACCTAAATATCGTGTTAGAGGACCTTCTTCATATAAATCAAGCTTAGAAACATTAAATAACAACAAGATACACTAGCAAAAGTCTCACAGGAGCGTAATTATAAATTTGGGTAAAATTTGAATCTCTTCTGAGAAATATAAATAATATTAAATTGGATCTCGTACGCCTAAACTGGGTTAAATTGTAGCCAGACGCAATTAGCGAGCATCTCAAAAGTGTGGAGGTGAAAATAGATAGTTAGACTTCAGTTACTTGTTCTTTGACTTTTTTTAAGGACAATAATAATTATTGTCAAACAACAATTATTGTTGTTTGAAAGCAATAACAGGGCTCTTGATGGAAATTTATTATCGCGGACTTTTTTTTTTTTTTTTTTTTTATTGTGACTCGGCAAAATGACTGCACCGCGCCTGATGGAAAGTGCGAATACAGTCCAGAGATGAGAGTAACGGATGGAAAACACAAATATCTTCACTCCGTCACTATCATTTTGCCGGTCTGGCCAAATGCTTCTTCACACTACGTTTGAAGGACCCGATGTTATAGAGGGGAGGGAATACATGCGCCGGGAGTTGGTTCCACAATTTGATGGTTCGGCATAAGAACGAATTGCCAAACTTTTTAGTGCGGGACGGTATTAAACTGACCGTCCAATTGTGGCAACGCAGTCCGGCACGGGTGGTCCGCTGATGGAAAGGAGAGGAAGGGATAAGGTTGAATAACTCTTCAGAGCACTCACCGTGGACTTTTTGAAACATAAACTTACTGAAATGGTGAATGTCTTAGTGATTCTGAATCTTTGTTTAGATGATAAACTATGTCGTCATTAATTTAGGTATGTTATGGGTGTCGTTTCTATTTTATTTTCATTTGTTTAATTACTTATTGTACAGAAAAAACATAAACACAACTAGTAACAAGGAAAACACAAACAAGGTACTGTTTATTTGTAAGAGAAATTCCTTCCTTCAGACCTAAATACAGGGGGCCTACCATAACCTTTCAAAAAACAATCTCGTTTCAATGTGAGCTTATAGTAAGATTATTATAATATTACTCATATTCGCACCTTGACAAACCTCTCAACCAAATAATGTATTATTACTAAAGTGACTGACAGAACGAATGAATTCCCAATATTATCTATTCCTTACTAAAGATAATAAATAACGCTATATGAACTGTATAATGCCATCTCTTTCTTTTCTGATGTTCCGAATCGTCCTATCGTAGTATAATGTTAAAGTAATAAGAAAAAAGAAAAGTATGTAATAATAAAACCTGTTAAAAATACGTTGTTTTACAATTATTTTTCCGCATCTTCATGAAGAAAAATAAATAAAACATGCTGTCTTGATTGTCACTTTGTGAATTCGGAATTGTAATAGTCTAGTGTCAACTGTTAATGTCGCCAAGGAGCATATAGATGTCGCTGTCATAATTTTACGAAATAAAAATCGCGTATTTTTATTTAACAAGAAATTATTTCTTGTGTACTACTAAATAAAAAAATAAACAAAATATTGCAGAGACATATGTAAATAAATAAGTTCAACTAAACTTTTAATCATTACAAATCAATATTTAGACGATAGAACTGAAAATAATGTTTTTCCATTGCATCCGTGTAACTATATTAAGATTGCTAAATTTGACATAAGAGCAATATTACTTTAATGTTAAAGTAGCGTCTAAAAACTGAGTGAATGAATAGTCACAAAGCTGCCAATAAAACATCATAGTTTTAACATTACAGTAAGCTTACTTTAAGCGCGTCATGGTACGAAAAGTCAATGTAAGGTTAAAGTAATATTGTTTTAAGAGGTTGTGGTAGGCCCCCAGGAGGCAATAATTTCAATAACGGGTTTACAAAAACAATACAAAAAACATAAATTTTTTTAAACTATATAAATACCCAGATAAATATATATTTCGTACTATAATACCTATAAAATGGATGGAACAGTCGATAACTAGTGCTTCTTAAGTCTCATTTTGAAAATTGCTAAGGATTTACTATCATAAACAGTAATGGGAAGTGTATTCCAAAGTCTGACCGCATGAACAGTGAAGGAGTGAGAATAAAGACCGGAATTGAAGGATGGAAAAGATAAATGGGACCTAACGAGAGAACGACAGGGTTTGTCCTGGGACCTTAGAAAGCCGAAACGCTCTTTCAGGTACCCGGAAGACATAGGACTGTGCAGAATATTATAGAGAACGGAGACAGTTTGCAAATTCCTGTTTCTACAGTACCAAATTTCTTTATCATCATCAGGATTATCAACACACCACTTTTAGCACCTTTACTTAGTGTAATGTCACAACTAACCCTACCTTTTTCTTCCACAGGAAAGAGAGAGAAGACCGAGCATGGCGGTGGTGGCACGACGCGGATCTGCGCGCGCTCAACAGGCGCAGGCGCGACGTTCGAGAGACCACGAAGTACATCGAGACGGCGCTCGTCATCGATAAGGCCATGTTCGATAGGAGGAATGGGAGTACACGCTCCGAGGTCGTCCATGATGCCATTCAAGTTGCCAATATTGCTGATCTGGTAAGTTTTATTATTATGGTCTAAAGGCAAATACACATTTATGCGTTTTATACATTGACTTACAAATAAATGGACGACGGGTCTAATACAAAAACCACGAAAAAAATGTGCCAAGTCAACCTATTTAAATGTAGTGACGTGTAAAGGAATATGAAAAAGCTAAAACGTTGAATTTAAATTGTAATGTCAGCGCAGTACTGTCTAATTTTGCTTGCTTCGCTGTCAGTCGAACAAACGAAGACTAAAGCGTGAATGACGCTCTGTATACGATTTTAACGCCCTATAAGTTCGGACACTTTTTAGCGCGGACCCGACGTCCATATAATTGTAAGTCAATGGTTTTATAATAAAATTTTACTTGTACTGAAAAATTATTTAATAATTATTAATTAATAATAACATGATATATAGTCCAATAGAAATTCCGTATCGCCAACCAACCGAGTCCCTTGTTGGGCGCCAAATATGATATCAAATGCGTAATCATTACAAGGGAACAGTTACTTAAATCCAATTTATAATCTACACATTTATTTGATTTTCACCATAACTATAACAAAGAACTGTCGACACGTCAGCAGTCGATATTGAGTATAGTTTATTAGCTTGGAGATTTTTTGTTATGCATAATTCATAAGAAAGTGATGGACAAAACTAATCCACATAATTTTCTTGAACTGTGGAAACTTTCCAGACATGTGATTCAATATTCATTGCCTATAGATAAATGAGTCCTTGTCCATTAAGCGTAGATAAAAAGAACATCAAAATCATAACAATAACTTACGTCTACTGTAATCTCAAAGCCGCATAAGTAGCGAGATACGATGACATCGAGTTCATAAAACACGCTTAACAACTACATAACATAGACGAACAAGAAAGCATGTTTGTCAACAAAGATCAACAGAAATACGTGCGTCCCTTATGAATGGCGGCTATTAACATCACGCGACTACGTCACAACTTATCCCAATATACAATCCACTTGGATACAGAGGTCCAATAGAGTGTGGTATGAAACCGAAACCGAAAATATGATTCGGCGTGATCTGTGAATTCCATGTCGGTAGGAAGGTGACTCGTGGAATTTGCCATATTAATACCAGGGAGACTCGGGAGACGTTACCCATAACGCCATGAGCAGATTTTTTTTTTTATTTAATATGTTTTCTGCTCTACCGGGAATGTAACCCTGTAAGTCGTCATATAGTGATTCTGTCTATACTGCTATTATAGTTCTAACCACGGAGCCACAGAGATTATCATTCATCACATATCTGCTATAATAACAACATCTATATACCTAATCTAAAATATTAAAAGGCTCAAGTTTTATAGGTAAAATACGGTTCATAAAATCAAAATACAAAAAAACAATCTTAAGTTATTGAATATATCTATGTCTGACGACCATGTAGTTTGTTATAATTATTAATACAAAGATCGAACACTTGGAAAATTTTTTTTCGAACCGGGTGGATTGTATCCAACGTCTTCCAGCAAACCGTGGCAGACACTACCCCAACTAAGCCACGGAACGAGCTAGCAGACTTACGAATTTTGATTTTGATCTTCGTTATTATTAAAAAAAATGTGTTTCGCTCGCAGCCCAGTTTTGGTCAATGCCGAAAGCTAACGTTTATAACCACTCCCGATAACACTACCGAAGCCGAATTTTTTCACAGCAACCCACTTCTGATCATCTCTACCCCAGGAAACAAAATGCATTGTAACCCGACAGGATTACAAGTAACGGCTTGTGTACGGGTGTCCATTGTAGCGCATAATCATCCAACTCGGCCGGCTATTAAGAGCTTAGTTGACCACAAAATTGTTATAGTCGATATCGGGTGTAGGGAAAAGTCGTGCTCTCGTCGAATGAATGTAATTCACTAAATTGCTACATTATAGATTAGAGTCACATAAGTATTACACATATTTAGCCCGCAATTTTTATTAATAATGTATAAACTGTTCATAAACGAACTTGAAAAAACATGATTATGATCTATGTGCCGTCATTTTGACAGTTGTTTGTTTATATTTTTGATCTCGAATTCTGTCTCAGTTTTATGCAATATAAAGTTTTTCAAATCACACTGCGACCTGAAGAATATTTCGAAAGGCCTTGAATATCTCAATACTGCAAGATGTGTGAGTTCATACAATCCGCGCGACTACGTGTGTAACTACTATGTTAAAACTAAGGGGGAAACAGTTTTGCTCGTCTCCAACCTATTTTCTGTCTAAAACACCCACTTAAAGAATTCGTGTGGCTTATTTTTTACATCACCATTTCCCTCACAAAATAAGATTACATAATAAAAATCAAACATAAAAATTGTAATACTCGTAAATCATAAAAAAAAGCACCGATATTGATGTATTATTTCCGGATAAAGCATTAAGGCTTCCCTGAAATAAAGCCATATATCTCCACGGTAAACATGTTTTCAATGTTTTTCAAATAAATAAGCCTGTACCTCACATTTTCGACACGGTAACAGCATTAGGTGAATCAAACTCACCCAAAACTTGGGAGTGATCTCAGTGAGGCTTGGTAAAACGGTTTTTATTATTACCCACGTTTTCATAGTACATTTAGTTGGTAGAAAGGGTGGATTGTCAAAAGCGAATTGCTCGAAGCGAGGTAGAAAAGATTTCAACAGCTTATAGATATATTATGAATGAACGCTACGTTATATTAATTGACTCATACATTAAAACGAAGCAGATGACAGAGGCAAACAATCTTCTTTACAATGTCCACCTCGACATAGTTTTCTTAATCTTCCAGAGTCGGTACCACATCAGCTTGAATTCCAATTTTTCCCATACTAATACGGTTCATTTTGCTTGGATCGAGCGGCATGTACACTGGCTCTATTTCAGAATTTATTTTTTCACAAATGTAAATAATGCCACTTGAAAAATTTGTATAGTGTAATATACGTGTTCTATTTAATTATGTTGATATAAAAAGAAACTTTGGTATATATATATAGTACGTATTGAAAGTTTTCTTTTAAAATTTCGAGGTAAGTTTGAATCGTTTTTCACACCGTATAGTCTGGATTACTTTCTACGATAATTACGATTTCATAGGATGTCATTCATTCAAACCTCGTTTCTTCTGCCATACTCTGCCATCATAAATTCGTGCCTTCTCACTGACGGTGACTGCATATTATCCATTTACTTCTCCGTTCACTGCATTTCCCATTTTTAAATTATTTCAATGAATTCACTGACATTTATCCGCTCACGCGATTCATGCGTCTCTGGAAGCATACCACACCTAGAGGTGCCGGCGATGATTTTATACCGATTTATCGGATATCGAAGTTATAACAGGTAAAAGAACTAATACTAATTGCTATTTCGTGAACTACTCTAGCAAACCATAAAGTTTTTAATGTCTGGGTCTGTCATTTAAAAAAAATAAACAACTTCAAAAATACGTCACGACAATCGTGTGTGTCATTGTTTGGGCTGGTGATATCGGTGTTTATTTATTGAAAACATACCGTAAGTTGCGTTTTTTAAGTTTACCCTGAATATAAATGTATATAAACTATACTTTAAGGAGTAATTTCATGGTAAACATTAGAACCACTCAAACGGAATATTATCATATTTACCCAAGTACACCAAAAATTTCATTAGTGCTTTTTAAGTGCAGGATTTGCGGTGTATTACTGCATTTTATTTGAGATGTTTTTGTTGTAGTACAGAGGGTATTTATTTAGCAATGCAGAATAATAATTTTTATTTATAAAAACTTGTATTTAAACTGAATCCTTTTCTAATTCGCGAAACCAAATGGCCGCCATTTTGCGGTAGGATGAGCGCATCGCGTGAACGGTTAGAATCGCTACACCCCAAAAAAATCGCCTGTTCCATATGTTGTCAACCTAAATAACGAACAGGTGACTGTTACCATAATTTCATAGGAACTCCCGTAAAAAAGATTATTCGCGTGGATGGCTTAAATCACACCTTGAAAATCTCGTAAACCTTAAGGCGTCATCTTGTCTATGTATATGATGTCTTCCAAAACATTATACGTTTCAACATTTGCAGACTGAAGTTCTGAGGATTATGCGGGCCGAAACTTGTACCCAGGTACGGCACATGTGCGCAGAACTTCGGACATTATCTTACGTTTATACGAAAGTACTGCGAATTTTGTCTCTTATCTAAGACAAGTTGCGTTCGGCACTTAAGTGCGAACTTAAGTTTGCGATAAACTTTCCAGGTGTATGATGATTTCACGCTTGGATTTACGGAAAATTTGTTGAATAATTTAAAGATTATTGACGTACTTACACAATTATTCACCACTCACATCTTCCTATTGTAGATAAGGAATGAATATGGGAAAATGTAATCAAATACTACTCTAAAGTTTTTGACAATATTATTTGCTAAGCCCGACTTCTGAGCTGTCGTCTATCTTTGATCTACAGGAGAAAAATTAACATTCCTTTGGACATGGCGCTGTTGCACAGGGTAAAAGAGACGGGATACTAAAAACTTCTTTAATTTCACTCTCAATTTCTTCCACGGCTCCCAACATTGGTTGTGATGGCCAAAAAAACACTGTCGATAACATGCAGTAACTTTTAACGAACAACATAACAATTCTTAAATCAAAATGCAATTTCAGAATTAAATGGATTTTGAACTCTCAGTAATGCTTTTGTATCGTCTAAACCAAAAACTGAATCCGGACATTTTAATTACCTGTCACTCCAGTTTGAAAACACTCGGAATTCTCCAGTTCACTTAGTTTTATTTCAAATACCCTTGCAAATTATTCGTCCGATTTCCAGAAATACGAGCGTAAAACCACCGCGAAAGGTTTCAACGTTTATCGCCATCTTAAATGCAAAACGAAACTTTACAGATAAAGATGTCTTGTAATCGGATATTCATGATTTATCAACTTGTATAATAAGACTGTTGCCTGCGTCTTCGTTCTTGGTACTACTCGATTGGTTGTAATTAAACTAATTGACTTGCCGCGATACCTGTAAATTTCTGCTCCCCTGGTATTCCATACCGAGACCAAATACAAAAAAGAAATAAAATAATCCAACCTTGTTATTTCACACCACGGTCTTTATACACAAGGGAACGTCTGTTTGGAGTGTTGGAACACACAACATATAATATTATATCAATAACTTGTTTTTGTTGGTTAGCAATCGCAGAACAGCTTCAATTTTTGACGCAAAATGGGGGCGCTATATACAAACAGATACTTATTACCTAACTTATAACTACAGATGAATAAAGCAGCCTTAAAATGTCCACCTCATTATCAATCAAGTTCATTATCCATGTTGCGCGTGTGGGCGGCGCTTCTCTTAACATGTTGGTGCGTACTTACGGCACCACTGTCAGCAGTGGCCGTCGCCTCGTTCCATATACCTGTTTGGCACACTAAAATTTATGTGCCTCAGTAAATCCGCGTTTTCATTTTTTCCCACTTAGTAATTTAAAAATATTTTTTACTAATGCTACGTTTCTGCCGACTTTGAGTTTATTGTAACATCATGCCTAATAGAAATAATGTCGTGTACATCCGAGGGTAGAATGGGTATACCCCATACTGTCTTAGATACACATATCTTATAAATTTATTCTGTATCTTCTCAAGCATAAGGTTATACTTTTTCTCGTGAGGTGCCTAGATAATTGCATTGCACTCGAGCTAGCTTCTCACCAGAGCATTATATGAACCTACGATCGCTTTTTAAGACCAATTTAATCCGAACGATTTTTAGCTATGATCGATGAACATCTGTTTAGCTATTTAAAGGTCATCAACTCTTTTCCCGGTTATTGTCATAAAATGAATATTTATTTTGATTCCACTCGTCCTATCGCCTGAAATTTGATATACTATGGAAATGCGATAACATTACAATAATAATGGTAGTCTTGGTCAGATGCTGCTACCAAGATGGTCTGCAGACTACCATCAACCACTTACAGTAGATCTATCGTGTTTGGGCTCTTCAAATTGGTCTCGATAAGGTGTTAGCTTCCAAATGGTGACTTTATTGACTTTTTGGAGTAGACTGTTTTGTAAAGAGCTTTTTGTGTTATCCAATTTTGGATTTCAGCCCGTTTCTTTTCATTTACATTACACAGTCATTGGTGACGCTATATATGAAAAAAAAGTTGCTTTCGATAGTTGAGCCGTACACAAACCTTCAGTTCCAAATGTCCAAGAGCTAGATGATCACGCGGGCCGGCCACAAATAACGCTATCATGAAAAGAAGCACGGGCAGATGATAAAAATTGTGGAAAATGTAATGTCACACACTATTTGTAGCGTCACTGGCGGTTAATGCCACCTTGGCGTAACACGGATTGGGATGGGAAAGGACACAAACTAAATGGTGTTACCAGTCATTATTATTCTTATAATCTGCCTTATCCACAGTATTTCCGCACGCTCAACACGCGAGTCTCCTTAGTCTACATCGAATCCTGGCAAGGCGCAGATCGAGCTGATATCGACCGGAAGCAGGACATTACCAGAGCCATCCTCAAGTTCAGCGACTACACTGCCAGAAAGCTCTTCACTGTTGAAAAAGATACTACTCAGTTGCTCACGTAAGTAGCGGTAGCAATATTTGCTCATAATATGATTTACACGAGCCGGACAAACATTTTTGGATGTTTTTATTAGCAATTTTATTATTGATTATATGTATATGAAACTATTTAACGCAATCCAATATAAGATCAGACGTAACGGTGAGGCCTCCCGTTAGGGGACAGTAGTTTAGCAGCAGTAAAGCTCCTAGTGAATGAGTTTGTTCAAGGAAGTACTGCCACCTTACCTTTTTCTACCACCAAGCAGTCTGCTCACATTACTGCGTTCCGGTTTTGAAGGGTATAAGTGCTGGTGAAATTACAGACAGATGGGGCTTGTCAACTTGTCTGAAGGTGACGGGCGCATTAGCTGTACCCCTCAGATCTTTCCAATTTAAAGCTCTAAGCTTGTATGCCTACAATGCATCGAGAATATAACCAGAAATAGAGACGAAATGTCATTTAATTTGTTTGAAAACTATTCTGCCATATCATTACTGTGACAACTGCGCTCCGATTAGCTAGCCCGAGTTCGAAACAATTGATGGGTGTCGTCAACTGTTTAACTTCAAATCGACCAGTTAACTTAAGCTTTGCTATAATGGACGAAAATTGCAAAATTACATATTTAATATTTAATTACCGATGAAATGTGATTCCGTTGGTTTTGTCATTAGATGGTTTGCTGTTTTTCCCACACCACCGAATAGCACAGCACGGCATTGTTAGAGATATTATCTTTATTACAATAAATACAGAATATTTTTTGGAATATACGAATACGTACACACAGGTCAATAGTTGGCCTGTCTATATTTCAGTGCAAACGAGAGTTGATATTTGTAAGAGCTGTATCGCTAATGTGTTACCAGGAATATATGGCCCTTATTTCGCCTCTATTTCTGGTTATATACTCGATGCTACAAAGCGTGTCGTTTACCATCTATAGTTCACAACTTGTTCGTCATGTCACCCTGGTATTATAAAAAAGCAGAGCATCATTATGACAATGATAGCAAGGGAAACAAAGAACACGGTAAATTTCCACAAGTTTGACCTCTCTAAAATTTCTATTCACTTAATTAAATTAAAACATCAAGTCCATACTAAAAGCACAACGAAACCGAGAGATTAAAACACCGCTTAAAACATTTAAACTCTCATTTTGAACCGTTAATTAGTCCCAAGGCAAATAGTTTAAAACGCATTTCTCTTTAAATTTTAATTAACAAGATAACCTGTAATTTGCGAGTTTTACTAATATACCCAACAAACAGACAGACCAGTCAGGTATGGCGAAACCTGCAGGGTTAACCATTATCGTTTTAACGTTAACACGATACGGCACGTTACAAAAGTACAGTAAGTTTCGGTTTATAATTAGACGACGCTACTTTGGTATGTCGTAACACTATTTTTACTTGCAATTTGTTCTTTTGTGGACAATTTGTTGGATTACATAACATGAAAATTCTAATGTACTTAAAATCTATTGTACCTAAGGTAACAGGCACTTAGGGCTTGTCAACTTATGTTTTAGGGTGACGGGCGCAGTGGCAGTATCCTGTCAGATCTTTGCTATTGAAAGCTCTGACTGGTAATGCAACTGCTATGGAAAAGCGTGTCGCGTAAAATAGAAATAATTTACTAAAGATAAACTTTTATGATTAAGTTTATATTGAATGTCAGAATGTTTCAATTATTTTTTTGTGAAATGACTGATCGGACTGTAAGAAATAAATTAACTTCGATCTGGTTGGATTCGAACCATCGTCTCCGAGCAAGCGCTATGCCAACTAAGCTACGGAGCAAACCAACACACCTTCCAAATTTTTATATGTGCTTGCTGATCTTTGTTTTTAATAATAATAAAAATTCTTTATTTCGGACCATAAAATATCCATAGTATGTTAGTAAAAGAACTTATATCAAGGTTAGTAATAATCATTGCAACTTAATTACATTTCGAACTGGGCTACGCCCTTAACTTGCACTATCCAATGTTTCAACATAGGACAATCATACTTTCCCGCTATAGCATTTAGAATGCTGTTAGTACTGAACCTCACGCGACTCATCAGCGAGACAATCTTTTTGCGCATGATGGCCTGGAAGTTGTTCGTGTGAGGCACCGCCAACATACCCGATGCACTACACCACGTTGGCAGTCCCATCAGCATTCTAAATACATTATTATATTGCACGCGCAGGGCGTTAAAGGCTCGATTTGTATACCTAACCCACAAGCTGCTCGAGTAAAAAGATTGACTATAAGATTTAAAAAGCGTTAGTTTAACTTCGTAGGAGCATCGAGCAAATCTGCGGGCAACCATATTAATTACTCCTAACCGCCAACTCTTTCAACATCCAGATCATCGTTTAGATCATTTGTTAAAATATGACCAAGACACTTTACTTTATCTGTGACCTTCAACGGAACTCTATTGAACATAATAGGAGGAACATAATACGGTTTAATTTTACCCGCCTTAAACACCATGACCTCGCTTTTTTTCGGGTTGTATTCTTATCCATGTACCATGGCATACTCCTCACAAGACTCAAGCATCTGCATCAACGCACTGACCGACGGGCTAAGCAGCACCATATCATCAACATAGCTTAAGTCATTTATACAAGTGCTTCCCACGTAACATCCTGTATGCAAGCTGCTGTGCCCGCCTATCGGCTCGTTAACGCACAGGTTAAATAGATTCGGTGAAGTAATCCCCCCCTGCCTTACTCCACACTCCAGTTTGTACTCAGCAGATAACATATTATCCCACCTAACCTGATTTTTCTGATAGCTGTACCAGTGCCTAAATAATGCCACACATTCTCCCGGTACGCCTGTCTCACTTAATTTTTGCCATGGCAGATCATAGTTGACTCGATCAAATGCTTTTGACAAGTCGAGGAAACAAGCATACACGGGGGTTTTCCTATCTGTACAACCTGACCGTATGCTTCAGACATAGAATCGCACTATCTGTGGATAGCCCCGCTCTGAAACCAAATTGGGCGTCATGAAACTTTAAGTGCCGTTCTAGTATAGTGTCCAGCATACGGTCAAGGATCTTGGCGGTAGTGGTGGCAAGCTCATGGGCCGACAATTCGTTCTGTCAGATAGTTTTTGGTTTTTAACAACTTTTTGCCGTAGCGCCATCTGTGAGAAATCTATGAAACTTTTATGTTTTTGTTTTCACACTTTTCAGAACAGTATTTGGTAGTAAGGTACGCACGTACGAACTTACGTGCAAGCGCACTGCCTGGCAACCCCCGTCCTGCGTTTTGCATCAGACTAGTATCTACGACTGCGCTTTCTTTTGCTACCGCATAGAGTTCTTAAATCATAAAGCAATGTGTTTAAATATTTAGTAGCCGTAGAACTTCTTGTGAAAGAGTTCGTCCGGGTTTTGTACACTTAGAGATGAAATGATAAAGTAAACGTTACTGAGTTCCGGTTTAAAGGGTAGACAGTGCTGGTGAAATTACAGGCACAAGGAACTTTGCAACTCATGTCTCAGGGTGACGGGCGAAGTGGCAACGCTCCTAAGATATTTGCAATTTAAAGCTCTGAATGACACTGCAACTGTTATGGATAGGCGTGTCGCTCACCACCAGGCGCACGACTTGTTCGTCCCGTCACTTGGTACTATAAAAAAAATACATTTTTGTGCTAAAGTAATATCTGATTAATCAAAAGTCCAGGAACAAAAGTTGTTGTTTCTGATGATAGCGCTGCGAGGTTGTTAGCATTTTACAAATAACCGAATTGGATACGAAAAAAATAGTTTAATTTTCAATACAACAATCGCGAAAACCTAAGAACTCACTGCAAAATGTTGTGATAAATAGACGCACAAAATTACGAGTTTCGGCATTTTGTTAAGTGCCAAATCACGGTTTACATGAGGATGTAGCGCTCGAGATTTCGCTAAACAGCTCGAAAATTAATCTCGAAGGCGAAACGGGTCGCAATTCAAGCGATAAACGAATCTGCACGCTCGGCGAAAGCGACTTTAGTTTGTCGAAAGCGATTCGAGATTTTTGATGGTGAATTTTCGAATGCGCCGCGAAAATTGAGCGCGAAATTAATCCTGTATTTTATGAACACGGATTTTTTTAAGGCTCGTTTGGTCGATTTAGCAATATATTTTTTTGGTCGTGCCTCTGGTATTTAATTCCGTTATTTATGGCACAATGTTGTGGTATAAATATTTATTTGAGAATTTTTTTCACACCTTTACTTAAACGTAATTTATGGGTAAATCGAGACCGAGGTTGTGCTGGAAAATGGAACTTTGATTAAATAGTTATACATCATGTTCAAATGGTAAGTTTATCGTTAGCTCAACTGTTTTTTTTTATGTATTAGTGTAACCGATAGAATCTATATTACAAAATCGTATTGTAAGCGACCCCACTTATTATTACAACCAACCAACTTAGTACATCACTATTTCGTTGTTTACTATAAACAAAGTGGTAAAAACGTGTTTCATCTTGTTGCATATTTTTAATCACAAGTGTTACATTACATGCCTGAAAGCCTTAAAAATCTTTAAACGAGAGGCCATTGAAATTAAAAAAGATCCTAATTTCAACAGGGAAGATGGTTTCTCCGTACCACCAGTTTGTTGTCAAATATATTATCCATTATTAATGGATAATAAATTTAACTTAATAAACATTCATATTGTTAAAATAAAATAATTTGTAAAACGTAATGTAGCAACGTAATGTAAATTGGAATGTTTCTTTGCAAAATTAAAAATAAAATTATAATAATTTATGTAACTATAGTGAAAAAATAATATTTGAATTAATATTAGACACAACTGGTTGATGACAGTACCACCTCAGTCAACCGTGCCCATGGGACCTATAAAGGGCCCGAAGCGTTGGTTTGTTTGAAAAAACAAATATACGCGATTTAAATCCGGAAAAATAGTTTCATATCCCACGTGTAACAATCGTGAAAACCTTAGAACTCGATACCTTTAAATAGAGATAGCAAAAATATTCTAAGCGCCAAAAAAGAAACATTAGGTTATGAAATTTATTATTATAATATTAAAACTCCATTTAGCATCACATTCATTTGCAGAAATAATTAAAAAACCCCCTCTACTGTAAAATTGTTTTTTGTCGGTCTGCGATAGTTAAAATTAAATTAAAATTAAAATTCTTTTATTTCAAACAACAAAGTCCATAATCTGTTAGTAACAATAATAGGAAAAAACTTGTTAAGTAAAAGTGTTGTAAAGTGTTAGTAGATTTCTATTATGAATCAAATCACCTTTCTTACAAAGCACTGCCACAAGGCAGAAGTAATCCTACCAGCTACAGTTTGTAGAATGCTGTTGAGGCAATCCTGCACTCTGCGCATCTGGGATGCTGTCCTTTTCCGGAGGATGGCAGCAACGCACCATGCGTCTCATATTCTGAAAACATGCAGAAACGAGGCAGTCCCAATAATAATAATAATAATTCTTTATTTCGGACCATTAAAAACATCCATGGTATAGTACGAGAATATAAAAACAAGGTTAATATAATACAATGCAAACGTCATTTATAATTACACTATAAAGCTACGCCCTCAATTTGCTCTATTCAGAATTTTTCAATTGGACAGTTAAATCTTTCCGGTATTGCCGTTATTGTACTTTGAATACTGTTGGGACTTTGCTTCACGCGACTCATCAGAGAGACAATCTTTTTCCATATTACGCCCAATATCATCCTAAAAAATATTATTGTATTGTACACGTAGGATCTGCAGCGGCTGTTTGGTGTAGTTGATTCATAGCTTCCCGGTGTAGAAACTTTGACAGTAAACTTTAAAAAGCTTGTTTTAACTTCTTCCGTATACCGGCAAAACCGAAGTATTAACCTTGTACCTCTTACCGCTAGAGCTCTACGCTGCCTTTCAATGTGGGCAATGTCTTTAGGGTCATCGGTAATATAATAAACAAGATATTTATATGAAGCTTCTCTTTTATCTCATTAAGATGCACGCGAAAAGGGAATTATTACAGCGACAAAAAGTAATGTAACTCCTTCTAACGTGACAACTTCGTATGAGTAAAACGAGAAGAACGTTATTTCATTTAAGTGAAATAAATGGTTTTTTTTTTCATAATATTAGTTTAGTTATAGAGCGAACAGCGAGCGAGCGCAAGTGCAATTGAGAACATTATCTGGTTTAAATTTTTATTATTATTATTGTTCATTACATGTAAATTAGTCGTACGTAGTCATATCATTTAAAAAAAAATTAATTT